TTGGTGTCAAATAACTTGTTTTTGACTGGTTTTCAGGTTATTTCACATCTGTGTGGTCACAGAGCAGTCAAACGCCTTGTGTGTTTAAGGTGACCCCCTCGTGTTCCTTCAATCTTACAATTCAACACTGTTAGGCACACACTTTTTCCAGAGGCTGCACCAAAAGACATCATTTCATCAAGGTTCTCCTGAAGTTAACATGTGCAAATCACCACAATAACACAAACAATGGAGACTTTTGTGAAGTATAGACACAATAAAACATACAACTACAATAAAGACTCGAAAACCCTTAATAACTGTGTAAAACTAGTGGTAGGTGATTCTCAAGAGGGTTTTTTTCAGCTCAAAAGGAGATGTGCCAGTTCATGGATGAACTAAAACCTAGATTATTATCAGAGAAATCATCATCTGAACAGTTAACAGTTTTAAAGGCTGCTGAGAATGCATGAGAGTAGGACAACTAATGCAAAAAAGTACACATATTTACTTAGCAAGAGATTTGGCAAACATTCAAATAAAATATCTCTCTCTTTCACTGATTTACTCTCAGCATTGGTAATATGTCCCACATTGTCCCTCACAAGCATACTTCTTGTCCTATATTTAATGTTTTTGAAGTCTGGTCATGCTTGTTTTTAACAGAGGTTAAAACTCCAGCAACACTTGTGGTATTATTGCTTCACCCTGGTGAAAGCTGCAAGCTGAAATGTGGTGATCAAACAATAAAATTGAAGCTTCAGCCTCTTTAGACTTCATGTTCTTCTTCATCCAGTTCGGAGGTAGGTAAGGTTTTCTGACAAACCTCTACCTTGTTTTGACCTTGTGTGTATACAGCTGGTAGCGGCAGGTGATGACCTCAGCCAACAGGTGAGCCAAAAACCCCACCCCCCACCTTAATCAAACACTACAAACAACAAGGAGGTATATGCTGTTTGAAAGCTGTGCTCAGGACAAGAATATGGCACCCAGCCATGTGCCTTTATACTGAATGAAGGTGTCAAAATTAATAAACACACAGTCATTAACACGATCTTTGGGGGTTATGTGAGGTTATTTGATGGTGAATGCCATGAGACTGAGCAACCTTCTTTAAGACTTGCTTTGCATAGCATTTGCATGTTCCAGTTATTTCCAACCATTTGACAAATACAAGGTATTCTGGAGCTGGCGTTTAAAAAAATTGTATTCAGGAAAAACCCCAAATGTGATAATAATAAAGATTAATATCTGCAAAAATGTGAATATTTCCAGTTTTCCTCTGTTTTAAAGAAATTGAGAGTTTAGTGCCTTTAGGTTTAGTACTAATACCCAAGCAAAACAAGCTAAATAAACATTCTTCTGCCACTTTTAAAAAATACCCACTGTTTATAGAAAAAAAAAATAAATCAAAAACATCACTGATATAGTTAATGTGGACATGGTCTTTTTATATATTTTCAGTAATCTAGCCGAAACCAGGTAACACCCAATAGTAGCTTGGTGGGTGGAGGTTAGGCGGTGGTCCTGCTGTTTTGGGCCCTCAAGGCAGTTGTCAGCTGTTTGCTACTCTCTGCTAGTTAAAACCTGTATGTAACAGCAGACTACAATATTGTAAAGGTGACCTACATCAACAAATTAAGGTGAACAAATATTATTAATGGAAAAAGATAAACAGACTACAACTCGCACAGTAGCTGCTGTGTATATCACAGACCTACACTGTGCATAACACTGTAACTAGCTTCCAAACTGTCCTGCTTATACTACACACACAAATGAAAAATGAGACACTCGAGGTTCAAGTCCCTACAGTGGTTCTGTTTGGATTGATACCCAGAGGATTTCCCTTTGGATCAGGTTGCAGAAATCACTGCAAACTGTAAAGCACATTTGCTCCCAAGAATCAGCTATTAATCAGCGCGTACTTACTTTTAAGGGCAGATATGAGCATGTTTCCATCTTTGATGAGGTCTTTTATGAACCTGTTGGTTCGCTCCAACTCTATTTCATGGCACTGCAGTCGCTCTCTGAAATCCGGGCTGTCCAGGAAAGAATCACTGAACTCCAGCGTCGGCAGACCCATCGCTAGATTAATACACGCCGCTAATTACGAGAGAACAACAGCACGACGCCTTTTCTGCCTCCTCGGCGAGACACCAAACGGTGTTTCAGTGTGCTCCGAGCAAATTTCTCAGAAATTTTCTCCAGCTACTCTTTTTCATGCCTTTCTTACTTTTTTTTCCCAGCAGAACTTCCGGACACAAGAACACAACAGAGTCTCTGATAGAGAAGGTTTGGCTAAGCTATACAACGAGCTCCATGCAGCTTCTCTCCAGCCTTCTTACTGTCGCTACTTTTATATAAAGCGTCGCGCTGACTTCTTATTTACTTATTAGGTGAAGCAAAGCGGACGTACGGCCGTGCAGAGTAACTAGCAGGGCTTAATGTTGGTCGCACCAAAGAAAGAAGTCGGCAATGACTGGCTAACTTTGTCTACGGACGGATCCTAGTCTTGTTACTATGGGAACGGGAGACTCCTGCTGGCGCGTGCTGAAATTGGTGGAAAACTTGGCAAAGAATACAAATGGGCCGATAACACTGTGATCCACAGGTTTTTAACAATATGAACACCAGCAGCAACAACAACAATAATTTTAATAATAGAAAATACTCGAGCAAATTAAGTTTCACGTTTAAGTAGCAATTTTTTAAATAAATTATTTTCCTATGAATAAATACTTAAATAACACAACAGCTCAAATTAAAGTGAAGTGAAAACGTTGCAAGGAACTGAGTATGTCAGCTGATGTGTTAAAGGATTAAAAAGTACCCTGCCGTTTTTTTTTTCCCCTTTTTTCTCTTTTTTTAAAACCCCGTTTTCCTCACAGACAGCTAGAGACGATAAGATGTATTGTACATCGATCAGCCACCTCATTAACTACATAACTACAGGGTAACTAACACTGATTGCCTGTTACAATGCAGTGTTCTTCTGGGATACTTTGGGTGCTGGCACTGGGTGGTGTTTTGACACTTACCAACCCACCTGGATATTGTTGCAGACCAGTCATGCATCCCATCGCAATTACACTCCCCAGTAACAGCAGCCTCTACAAGAGGATGAAAACCAGACCACAAAAACTGCTCAACCAAGGTATTAAGCTACTTTCCCCAACAAAACAAGCCCACTGAGAATCCAGAGCACACCTGATCTATGGAGGTCCCAGGCAGCCAACAGGACCTAGAAACCAATCCACTGTTAACATCCCAGTGGTAGACTCCAGGAGAACGCGTCCTATTTCAGTACCCCCAATGCATGACAACTAATGTGACCAGATCCAAATAAACGAAGGACCAAATAAATGTAGGACAAAGTGCAGTGACTATAAGGGAGAATGACGTGGATATGTTACTCATACTGAGCAATGGGTTAAAAATGTGCTATATCTGACTCAAACACACACACAATATGTAAGCTAAAGCTTGAGAATCAACCACTCCGTATCGCCATATAACCCCAATAGACCTCTTCAGTGGTTCCTTGGGCATTTGAAAGTAGAATGGGAGGCAGAGTCTTTGGCTTTCAAGCCTCTCTTCTATGGAACCAGCTCCCAGTTTGGATTCGGGAGATTTTGTTACCCTGGAATAGGTTTACGGTTCTGGGGGCTTTCCATATTACACAGAGTGTTTCTTCTTCACTCATCTTTTTTTTTCGCTCTCCTTGTATTTGTACACTACTCTGCATCATTAAATATTAATACTTTCTGTCTCTCTCCCACAGCCTGTCTTTGTCCTGTTTCCCTCCAGTCATTCACACACAATTGAATTGAATTGACTGTGAAGCACAAATATGCTGTATTTATTTAAATTTCTTTCTCTCTCTCTCTCTTTTTTTTAGTATACACACTTCTGTAGTCCCCCTTAATCTGGAGATAACTGTTGAAAGTGTTATCTATTTCACATGCTATTCTGTCTGGGTTTCAGATTCAGAGGTTCGGTAGACCTTGTACCGAGACATACTCAGTATGTGGGTCAGGAGAACAACGGATAAAAATTGGGGGAAATTGGATAAAAAGGATAAAAAAAATAACACTCACATACTGAAAATGCACAACATAGTGGTAAAAGTCTCAGACAAATAGGGTTTAAAATGACGTCTTCCGCCAACACCCCAGATTATAGTTGGCTACAGTAAGTGATTTGCAAGCTTGTGAGGAATTTACAATAAACAAAAAAATACCTTAAAAGGGATTGCATCACTTAAGGGTTTTTTCATAAATATAAGACTACCTGCTGAAAAGTGCAGGCTCAAACAAGCCCTCTAATGTGAAAAAAGTAATGCTGGATTCATGCCAAAGACACAGGGAACATTGCTGAGTACTAGCCAAATGCTCCAGGGTAACTACTGAATGGGAAACTTGTCATTTTCTCTTCCCCCTTCTTTTTTCCATTCCTTTCTTGGCTTGGTGTGTCACTTAACACTACTGTGGTCAGATTTATTTTGCCATCATCACACTTGGTACTGTGCAGCCACCCTTGCGAGACATTTAAACGCATTAACTTTGGAAACAAGGCTCAGCTCGGCACTTCTAGCTTACGAGTGCTGATATTTTGTGATATGTCTGTCTGTCTGTCAGCAAGACAAACTACCAAGTCAAGCTTGGTGGACAGGTGAAGCGAATCCAGATCACTTTTGTTTTAAATTCAAAAACAGATCGTTGGCTTTAGTGGAGGAGGGAGTGTCTGGCCATCTTTCTAGTTTACTTATTACCTAGTTGAATCAGTTTTTAAAAAAATGGTCATCCAGCCTTTATTTTAATAATATTACCAATACAAATTCTAATTTTGGAGCATATTCCCTTTTAAACCTGTCTGACTGAACCAAAGTTTCAGCATTCTGGTACTTCATCTGCTTTATTGTCCCAGCTGGTTACTGCTCTATCTGCCAGCCACCGGTGAACAACAGAACACCATGACTACTGCAGTAAACACACTTTAAGAAGCTCTTTGTATAAGCGGGCACACAAACACTCACAGTGCAGAGAAATATAGGAAGTAGAGGGTAACACTGCAGAAAGCTTATGTGTTTTCTAAAAGGAAGGTAAGCATTACAATCACAATGCCCTCCATTTTAAATTTCATAGTTATTATTCTTGGATTTGGTAGTTTTTAAAAAAAAATTAAATTCTGATTTTTTTGTCTTACTTTTTAATGCATCTTTTCTAAAACTTTTTTAGGAGCAGACACCAAAGATTTAGAACATTGGGTGATGCCAGTGATCCAGGAACCAGCAGACAAAATGTTCTTTGAAAATGCCAGCCTGCAGCAACCACGTCGCCACCACGAATTCTTTCTGCGCAGTAGACCCTACAGGGGCGAACCACCAACAGTGGCAGGTAAAGTCCTGCTGCTCCTTCATACCAGCAACAGATAAAGTTACTTATGCTCTCAGATCCTCCAGTGTCAGCTTTAATCATCTACATTAGTGTTTGTAAAAAAGCTCAGTGGCAAAGGAAAAAAAAGAAAGAAAGTTCAAACACTGAAAAGAGTAAAACAGAAATAGAAACAATGTCCTGGTCAAGAAATAACAAAAGCATTCAAAATTACCGTCATTATTTCTGATCTCGCTTTAATCTCGGTGCACATCACTAAATAAACAGACAGAAATAAAACTTTGTTTTGTTGTCACAAAAATCAGGTCTGTGTGAATGATTAATTGTCACTGGCATTACACTTATTTTATAGAATTTGTATGCAAAGTAAACAAGCTGTGAAAAAGAAACCTAACTGGAAAGATTTCAGAAACTGTGAAACAGCGTTGGGCTACATGTTCTGTGCTAACTGGAATCACTCCAAAGTAGTGGGTTAAAAAAGGGGAACAAGACTCAACAGTCTACGTTTCACCCTCTTTAGGATTCCTCCTCTACCCGGACACACCTGCTAAGATGGAGACCACATCACGTGAGGCTTTCTGCTTCAGGCCCATCCCAGACCAAGATCCAGGCAAAGGTCAACAGACTTGGCTCACCCTAGAGAGTAAACTCATCATGTCTGTATAAAGATAAGACTCATTTATGGTGGCACAGTGCACGCAAGGCTGTGGCTTTCTGTTCAGTGCACATGTGTGTCTTGGAAATGGTTTGGGCAGTGTGCTATGAGTGAGAAGGCAGAGATGGTAGAGATTATATAAAAAGTGATTTTGTGATTAAAGCTTAGATTAAAAAAAGCAACAACCCTACACTGCCATTAAACTGAAAAACACTGTAATTAATGTACACAAGTAATTAATACCTCAAATAGAACATAAGAAAGACCATATAAGGTTAAATGTGAAAATGCTGTTATAGACACAGAGCATCTGGAGGAGTGATATTGTTTTCTCTGCTGTGCAGTGAAATTCCTGCCACTCTTACTCACAGACACAGGATTGGATTGGCCTCAGCAGTAATTATTTGTGTATGTGTTCCCGTGTCCTTCACACAGCTCTGTGACATCCAAAGCAAATGATTTATATTCATAAGAACAGTAAGGGAACAATATTTGAAGAAAAACATATTTTCTTGAGTAGCTGAGGTCTGTGTTCACTTGAAGCAGTTAGATTGTCTGTGCATGCGCAGTGTAAAAAAAATATTACCATAAAGATTTGGAATTATTTATCAAGAAAAAAAAAAGTTGAAATTCACTAAATACATTGATATTGTTAAATATTGCCAGTAAACTAAGAAGAACGGCAAAGTGTAACAGGTCAATATTTTAAAAATCAAAGATTTATGACATTTTAAATAGACCATTTCATGTCATTGATGTATAAAGTGTTATTCTCTCAAGATTAAAATGAAAAAAGCAAATAGTGCAATATATGTAGTATGATCAAGAAAGTAAGAAAGTCTATTTATGGAAAGTAGGGATGCAACGATACCAATTTTTTTAAACTGATACGATACCGATACTTGGATCTGAGTACTTGCCGATACAGAGTACAAAAACCGATACTTCTCCCACACACACACACACAAATGCAATGAATTGGAAGACAGGTTTTTATTTTATTCTCTGCCGATAAAAAATAAAATCTTAATAAAAATGACCACAAAAAAATTTCAAGTGAAAAATAAGCACTTCTGTTAAATTATTGCGGAGTCTCCACATTGTAATTTAACAAAATATGTCCCGAGCTTTCAGAATAATAAATAAACACTTCTGTTTATTTATTATATTTCATATCGCAGCTCGAGTATGCTGAGAAGACGGTGCAATCCTATGTTTTCCACGACCGGCATTGGCTGGTCATCCAGAGCGATAAAATGAGTCAGAGCCTCTGTTATTTTAACTGCTTGTGGATTTTCTCTCGACATTTTTCTTCGCTTTTCCAAAACCTGAGTTAAAGTTGGCTGTTCCACACTGCTGACATTTTGTTTAGCCTAGCTACAGCAGCCTCCAGTTTCTCTTTTTTATCTGGAGCCGCCAGTCTCACTCGCCTAACCCTGTGCCTGTTTAGCGCGGGATGTCCCCCTAGAGGCCAATCTAAAAAACTACAACAGAAATGACAAGCCACCCTCTGATTAATGAAATAAGTTAGTATCGGTTCATGGTATCGGTTAACTTTTACGAGTATGAGTACACACACATTTTACAGTATCGGCCCTGATACCCGATACCAGTATCGGTATCGGTGCATCCCTAATGGAAAGTGTGATTACTGTTGATGAAATTCTGCCTTTAGCAAAGATTACCCTTCAGCAGGCTGTAACACACAACAGGAATCTCACGGTTCTCCTCCTGCATCCTCATGAAAAACAGGAAGAGGAAACAGACGCGAGGACAGAGAAGTGAGCGGGAATGAGCAAGAAGGCAACCGTGATCACATGTCAGCAGCAGCAAAAAACGAACAGGAAACAGCCCAGATGCAGTCTCGGTATCAGAAAGACTTCCCTCCCCCATCCTCCTGCCACAGGAGGCGGACACCTGCTTTCCCGCAGCCTGACAACATTGGCATCAACCCTGCGTTCAGGTGAGAGGTTTATCATCATCACAGTGTCCTTCATGTAGGAAGCAGCTACTCTGTGTCTGCATGTTCTGATTCTTCTGATTCACAGGATCAACTTCAGCACGGTCCAAAGAGAGACTTACCCAGGGTGGCCCATTGTGAATGTCGGGTACGGTGGAAGGCAAAGACCAGCTAAGCATGACTTCTAAGCGGTAGTGGAAATCATCTTGCATGTTTGCATACATGCATAATTAATATTAAATGTCAAAGTCATATTTAACAAATGCTTGAAATTTGTCTTGTCCCAGCATGTATTCCCAATAATCATACAGTAATAAACACAAACCAGTGGAAAAAAGCCTCAGTTTTCAGTGTGTTTGACGTATATGTGTTTGCACTAACTTCATTGTCTCTTCTTATAAATAACACTATAATTGACAGCTTACTATTCAGAACATACTTGGAAATAAAAGTCAGTTCTACCTCTTGTTTTTTTCTGGTACATTAGAGAATTACCTTTTAATGAAATAAGAGATTCATTTCCCGTCATCTTTCATATTGATGACTTCACAAATACTTGTGCACAGTTTAAGAATCCACCCAGTGACCCATAACAGAAAGCTGATTGACCTCACTGGGCAGGACCGAGGATCAGACGGCTGAGTAAGAGCCGAGTAAGCGTTTGATTCAAATTCCTGAGTTACATGTATATGGAAAAAGGAGTAAATGTGTTTGAATACTCTGAGTTTTCTTCCCTCAAGTATAAATCTTGCACAACACATCATTATCAACTCTGAAAACAGGGGTCACATGAGGCTACACTGGAAAACTACCCAACTTGGGAAATCTTAAACGTGTTGCAACACTTTGACAAGCATTAACATCTTAGATTTCAAAACAATGACAAATTTTATTGCTTATGATATACTCTGATTTACAATTTTTTAAAAAGAAATTGAGCTGACAATGTGCTCTTAAACTTATGCTTTTTTAAAAAACAAAACAACAACTGCAAACTCATTTTACATTGTGAGTCACATATAGCCTTTGACCTTGAGTGGGCCGGACCAGCGAAACTTCCCTTTCTGTCAGTGAAAAGAAGTTTAACTACACATTTAATCCCTGGAATATCTTAATATCAGAAAAAGAAATGCAGTTTTGTTTGTCTCAGTTTATCTACATGATCAACTACATGCTGTAGTAAATGGGAAAAAAGTCTGTTGGGACTTAAATTGTAAGAAATAAAATTTGAATTGTATATGTGGGGTAATAATATTTATGATAACTGTATAAAAATACAGTTTCGATTCCCCAAAGCAATCCAATTGGACTCTTAAGCAGTGATTCTGGCTCCTGGCGCTCATGTTTGACATCCGGAATGTAAGCCTCATTTGGCTGGACACCATCCGTATTGTAATTTTTTTGCTCGAATAAAGAGTTGTAAAAAAACCCAACAAAACACAACAACCCTACTTTTTCATTCCTGCAACCCTGCACGAATAACAAAGTAAGACTTCCCTGAGAAGAACTGAATATGACAGCCACAGGCAGAGTCCTGATTACCATACAGTACAATCTGAAGAATATCAGCATACAAAAAAAGTAACCTTTCACACAAACAGTTATCCAAGTCACACACTCATTCACTGTCCTCCTTTGAAAGCCTTCAGCTGTGCTTTGAACCATCCGTCAGTCTTGCAGTACCGCTGAAGTGCAGCCACATGCTTCATCTCCGGTCCCGGTGCCTGCTCCTGTCTCCGTGCCTGCGGTCATCCCACTCTCGGCCTCTGTCCCGGTCATCTCTTCTTCCTCTGTTGCCCCACTCTGCTGTTCTGTGTCGGTCCCGATCCTCTCTGGCTCTCCCGCCTGGTCTGTCCCACTCCCTCCCTCCACCAACACCACCACCGCCTCCTCGTTCCTGCACCGGGTCTACCCCGAGATTGATGGGTTTACGGAAAGGCCTGTCCCTGCCGCCGAACCGCAGCTGTCCGGATTCCTTTTTCCCTCCAAGCCCGCCGCCGAGCCGCCGCGGCACCCATCCTTTAAGAGTCCTCTCTTGCTCAAAATCCACGAACACTTCATGCTGGTCGACCACCAGCTTGTTGGCGTCCCGGCGGGCCCGGACCACAGACCGCTCCTCTTTGTACTCAATAAAGGCATATCCTTTGGAGAAACCCGTGACGATGTCCCGGACCAGCCGGAGCCGCTGGATGTCTCCGTACTTAGAGAACACTTTGTGTAGTTTATCTTCGGTTGTCTGTGGGTTCAAGCGGGACACAAAAAGCGTGAGCAGTGGGTCTCCAACGACGCCTTTGTTGGGCTTGTACCGGGCACCCATGGCCCTCCAGACCGCTCGATCATGGGGCTCCACGTCCGTGCCGTCGATGCTACCAGCTTTCAGCGGGTCGTACACCTTCGCTATCGGACTCCAGTCAGCCATTTTAAACTAGAACTATCGCACACGAGACTAACTGGCTTTACAAACAGTTTTCAGGGCTAATATTTTTCTGCATTAGTCGCTAATTACCCGTGAGACCATACCAGTACCGCTGAATGTTTTCACTCTTCCAAGTGCATCAACAAAAACATTCCGTAATGAAACGGGGTCCAGTGTGTCACATTTTAAAGTCCCCCCACTCCCCCAACTAAGGATACTAGAGTTCCGCGGTGCTAAGATACTTAGACCAACTTAAAACACGCAGATTAATTATAGCATCAGTCGACAAATTTGCAAATATGAAGTAAGGCTTATTATTATTAATGTATTATTATTAATAATAAATAATACTTTTTATAAAAATAAAAAGTTTATAAATAAAACTTTTTATTCATTGCACAATACTGTGTCACTTTTTTTTTATTTATAATTTTATATAATCACACCATAATCAATAGCATAGATAGTGACAGATCAAAGGCAATAGTATTGTTGTGTTATTAAGCCATTGGTCTAGCATGTGCAACCAGAACACCAGTTCCTTGATTCTACAAATCAATCTTCCATAATTGTTTTTGATGGTGCTGGTGGAAAGTGCCTTAAAACTTTTACAGATGTTAGACTGCCATTTTAAAGCTGGTGACTGTGAAGATTATAATATATGTAAGAATTAAATATTTTTTATGCTAATCAAATTATTCAATGACATTCTGATGCTTTACAGATGGCTGGTTGGTTGGATTGATTCGGCACAAGATGAATCAGACATTGCTAGAAAAAACATTAGAGCCCAATCTGATTTCCTCACTGCGAGAGTCACATCATCCTGTCAGTGTATGCACTCCCTGATTAATATGGCAAGGAATGACTTATCTGAATGCCGCTTTTCCCCCCCATCTATGTAGGCCAGTCTTTTTAGCTACACCACAGAACTCTCAAATGTGCATTTATCTTGTACACAAAAGCCTCACAGCTATACCATACCATCAACAGTCAGCTGTGGACACTCTCTTTCAGCATTTGGTTGCTGTGCACTATGTTTCATTTGGAGTCATGAGGGACATGTCTCTCTTTCTATGTCCAGGACCAAAATATGTTGGTTGTAACAAGTGGTTATTTGAGTTACTGTTGCCTAATAAAATGGGTGGTAAGTGTATAAAATTATCTAAAAAGATTGAATGTCAATGCTATCCAAGTTACAGGTGCCTGAACACTCTTGAGACAATGCATTACAAAAACATTCTTTATAATAAAACACTGAAACCACAACAGCTTCTGCTCCACGGTGAATAACTTCTTACAAAAATTGTGAACATGCTTCACTTCATTTTTCTGTACAGTTTCATCTGATACACATGGTACAGTATCAAAAGGGTTTGGAAAGGTGAAACAAATTCTTCTATGTAGTTCATTTAAAAAATAACTTTTGCTGCGTAGATGCATCTAGTCTTGTTGTTCTAACAGCATAAAAATTATACATAAAGGTTGAGCAGGTGTGCTCTTTAGCTCTACTCCAGATTCATCATTTTCTGAAAGCCTTTACATATCCTCCACACTCCATTTATAGGCCGCTTCCTGCACAGCCTTTTTATCTGCCATCCTCTGGTAGCGTTTCTGTTCAAAACCATTTGACCTGCAAGACACAAATAAAATAACCCTATTAATTATGATACGACAACCTAAAAGGCCAAAGACAATCCTTTCAATTAGGCGCAAATTTAATATAGACGTGGAAAAATATGATCACAATTGCTTTACCATTAATGTGCAAAATGACAAACTGATGTGTGTATTAAAAACATTCAATATTAAACTACAAATCTGTCCTCAACAGTTTTCCTCTGTCACCGATGCACAAACTCTACCTGTCAACTCCATCCCAGCGGTACCCCGGTGGAATATTGAACCGGTTTGGAGGTGGAGCAGGGCCTTTATATCGAGGTTTCTCTACAAAAAAATCAAAACAAACATACAAATAAATAAAAATACAAACAGTAGCAAAAACAAAACTGCTGGTATTTAAAAGCTTCTTACAAGGATTGACCTGGTGAAATAAAATAAAGTCATAAATAAAATAAAACATATGTAATGTTAAACACCTTGTGTTTTTGTGCCACGGTCCTTTTTACGCCTGAGCATTGCAGCCATAGGATCGCCTTCTCTTTCCTGTTCTCTCAACATGCGGTCAAGATCCTCATCGTCACGGTGACGTGCCAGTGGCTTCTGGGCTTCGTGCAGCGCGTCCTCAAGTTTCTGCTGATGCATCTGGCTCTGTGCCAACCTATACATACATTTTAACATAAACCATTGAACCACATGATGCTTTTATAATTTTTTTTTATGTGGATATAATCACATAAACTGTGATATTTGAAATAATCATGCACATTTACCCTTTTCCCCACTGAGCGTATTTCTCGTCTCTTGCCGCTTTTTCACCAGCTTTCTTTTTCTGTTCATCTCTCTCTGAATCCAGATCCCTCCTTTTGCCACTTTTGTCTCTGAAAATCGTCTGAGCGTTACGCGATTCATCTGGTCATAGGGGATGAATGGGTAAGTATGTATAAACTTTTAATTTTATTATTTAATTTTAGGACTAAATAAAATACGACAATATAGATGATAAGCTGAAATGAGATGCAAAGCTGTATGAAGCTCTTCCATCAATGGGTGTAAAAATATCTTAAGAGAGAAAAGTTGAGGAAACCTTCAAGTGGCTGATTGTGTTTTTCTCTGCGTCTGTTCTCCTCTTGCTCTTTCCTTAAAACGTCCACAGAAACCAGGCCTGCCTTTCCACCAGATAGCATCCTTTGGCCCTGGTTATAAAAAAAAAAAAGACAATGAAAAAAAAGAAAGAAATTTGAGCTAAATCAGATTTTACATTACTGTTTGTTCCAACACAATCTGCTTACCTGTGACTGGCCTGGCCTACGAGGTGGTGACAAATCTCCATCCGAGTCCCTTCCACTCGGTGGCCGCACCCTGGGTGGAGACTGGTCAGAGTCTGAGCCCCGTTTAGTTTTTGAGGACCTCCTTGGGGGAGATTGGTCGGAGTCTGAGGCGTTTCCCTTCAGGGGCCTTTTCCTCGGGGGAGACGGATCCGAGTCTGAATCATGTCTATTCTGACCCTTCTTAGCTACTGCTGACCGATGAGGATCCGGTGAGCGTTTTTTACTTAACAAAGATGAGCTGAGCCTGCTTTTGTTGGAGGCTGAATCTGACAAAGACACAGTTAATTTGTTAATTTTCATTTTGTAATGCCTTTTGAACAAAAATTAAAGATTTATTATTAGATCAAGGTATGTCTTTAAAAGAAATTTCCATTCAAAACTCATGTTAAATGGGTCTCTGCTTTTTTTTTTTATTCATATGCCACACCAGATTCCACTTTACAATTTAAATGGATCACTCACCTTTACTTTGCATTTTTTCTGACTTTCCTGAACACTGTCTTGGTGGTGACAAGTCCGGGGAGTCACGGCGTCTTCTCCTGGGAGGAGAGACATCCGGAGAGTTGTGACGTCTAGTCCTGGGAGGAGAGACATCCGGAGAGTCATGACGTCTTCTCCTGGGAGGAGAGACATCAAGAGAGTCATGACGTCTTCTCCTGGGAGGAGAGACATCCGGAGAGTCGTGATGTCTAGTCCTGGGAGGAGAGACATCAAGAGAGTCATGACGTCTTCTCCTGGGAGGAGAGACATCAGCAGAGTCGTGACGTCTTGTCCTGTGAGGAGAGACATCCGGAGAGTACTTCCGACTTCTCTTTGGTGGAGAGATGTCTGGAGAGTCATGCCGACGTCTCCTCGGAGGTGAGACATCTGGTGAGTCATGCCGGGTCTTTTTGACAGGAGAATCCCGTGCTCTTCTCTTTGAAGACAACTCTGGTGAGTCATGTCGACCTCTGCCTAATGAGCCAGCCTCTGTATTTTGATGTTCTTTTCCATTTCCTTCCTCTGTGTCATCATTTTGATCCACTTTTAGGAGAGGAAGTAAAACTATAGTAAACAACAGTCTTAACTTAATATTGCACAAATCCCCCCCTACTGCTGTGACTTCTTATTTACCTCCAATTACTTTCCATCTGTTGCTGGTCCTAAAAACTTCCATTTGTTTCACTTCCTCAGGTCGATCATCAATCACCTCAGCAATCTGAACAGTTAACAAAAGATTTAGTTTTAAAACAGAACTTGTTGACATAACAAAAATGACCCAAACTACAAGCATACCCATTTAATACAATAGATTCGATTTCAGCATTAAGTAAACGGCCTGTATTTGTATAGCGCTTTACTTAGTCCCTAAGGACCCCAAAGCGCTTTACACGTTCAGTCATCCACCCATTCACACACACTGGTGATGGCAAGCTAAATTGTAGCCACAGCCGCCCTGGGGCGCACTGACAGAGGCGAGGCTGTCGGACACTGGCGCCACCGGGCCCTCTGACCAGTAGTGTCCCAAATCATCAGGCTCATTTTTATTGTTTAAAAGAAACCCTCATATACAGGAGCGCATATAGCATATGCTTCCGTAATCATTTCAACTGAATGAATGGACAGGTTAGCCAGGTAGCTAGCTAACGCCATCTTACCACTGGAGCTTCTTCTTCATCCTCTTCCTCAATCTCCGTCTGCTGTGTGACCATCTGTTTCCAATCTATGTCATCGTCCACTATTTTAAGTCTTGAATCAAAGAAGTAAACACGAGTAAGTTATTACATTAGGCAGTGAGGAAAACAGCGCTGCACAACAACAGAGTCGTTAACTAGTTTAACGGCTAACAAATACAGCTAAATCTGCGGCAAAAGTCGACTAAACCGTCGCCACCGGCTCACCCCTTCTCGGGAACCTTGCGCCGCTTCTTTTTTGCCTTTCCTTTAGATTTCAGGGAATCATCGTCGGCTGATAAATAACGTTTTAGGTACTCAGCCTTAGAGAGTTCCTGTCCTTTCTTACTGCCTGTGGAAGCAGCCATCATTGTGTTGTCAGAAACTACGGGTGGCGCTGAGGTTCAAGAATGCCAGTTCGGATAGAGGATGCAAAGGCTAGACTGAGATTGAGGCAGCCAAGCAAGCATGCCTAAATTGTAAACAATATTATTATTAATAAATTCGAAATAAGGGCAGTGTAGTTAGCAAATATAATAATACAAATAAATTAATACAAATAAATCATGAAAGGGTTTTGAGGAATTTACCATTGTTAAATCCAATTGCACTCCAGGTGCAGTGCTGTGAAAGTATTTGTGTGAAGGGGGAATTAAACCTATCCAAACTTACCTGTCCCAGTGTAAAACAGTAATTGCCCTGTTGTTAAATCATTAATTAATTTACTAATATGGGGTTAACTGTGATAAACCACATTTTTTGCTGAGGTGCAAAAGCGAGAGTGAAATAAATGAACACCAACTGTGTAGTTATATAGTTTTAATTGATATCAGTAAGAGGAAGTTAAACTATCACCAAAAAATTGTCAGTCATGTGTTGGTATTGTTTCACCGTCATCAAAACAATGTTGGTCCAGGATTACTGAGACTTACTGACACCATCACTTTATCAATGCTGGTCATCATGTCCTTTTGCTGCTAAAGTATTTATACCTACTTTTCTATACCTATACTCATTACTAGTACACAGGTTGTTGCACTCTATTTAGTAGTATTACTTTATTACTTGTTATTCTGTTTTTTAAATCTGTTCATTTAAAAAAAATTCTGTTTCTTCATTATTCTGTTTCTTTTCGCTCTGGGACTGTGTGTACGTAATTTTCGTTCCACCTCATGTAAACATGTGATGCAAATGACAATAAAGCTTCCTTGAATCCTTGAATCAGCATTGCGACTGACCTGTGATAATGTCTGAGCATCCAAGAAGTTGGCTAATGCAATTATCACTGGCAAACCAATGTTAGTAAACTGTAAACTAATCTGGCTAAACTAAATAGCAAACCTAACTTGAAAATGTATTTACTATATTCTATAAATTAATAAAGAAAAAACTTATACTGACCATTTGTTCTAGGAGAGAGTTTTATATAAACAAGCACATATTTGAGGACATTGCAAGGTTACATCACAACAAAATCATTGGTCAGTACCAATGTTGATCCTGGATTAGCATTATTATACGGATGCAACACTAACACAAGGACATCAGCTACACTGTCACTCATCATGAAAAACAACTTGCCAGAGTCATGCCATGGCCTCAACATAAAAGACAATACCTCTTACAAATACCTCTGTCATGAGAGTGATAAACACACAGTGCAACATTATAGATTACAGATTAAGTTACTAAACTGCTGATCTTTTGTCTTGATGCATGCTCAGTCATCCAGGTAATGAAATCCCAAAAAGTGGATTCTGTTCATTTGGATGTAACGTTGTGAGTGGGAGAAACACTTCGTAACTCATCCAAGTGACTTCTTCAGTCTCAACTGACTGCAGGTTTCCTCAATCTTAAAAAACGTACTTTTGCAGAATTACTAGCACCACTGGCAAGTGGGCTGTGAGGTAGTTTCTTGATCATTAACCATTTATGACTGTCACTGCTCAGTGACAGAAATACTTATGAGCCCCTGAAACAAGCCCAGGAAGTGGTAACAGGAAGAGGGTGATAGATTGTCTGAAGCAGTTAGAACAAGACAATGCTAGTGAACGGACCTCATACCACAGGCTATACCCAGGGACAGTCTATATCGTGTACCTTTAGGACCAGTTGTCTGTATAATCAACTCGGTCACCTATAACACCTTAAAGTTTCTGGCTTCGATCCTCAACCCGTTGGTAGGCAACTCTAAACACTACATCCAGAACAGTTAGTTTCGGTCATTGTGCAAGGGTACTGTTTATTCATGTTACAGCAACTCATGAGTGAATGAACATGGTGCAATAAAAGTACTTTTAAAAGTACATTTTTCCAAACACTTACATGTACTTAATTTACTTGAGTAGGGTTAGGGGTTGCCACTTCAGCATGCAGTGAAATTCTATACTCTTGCTAATAACCTACTAATTTTATTCAGGCGTGTTGCAACAGGGACATATGGAAAAGTTTCTGGACACCCGTCCTCGAGGACTGGAGTTTGAGACCCCTGCTCTAGTCAAACCTCCCTGGTACCTGTCCTAGCCTGTGTAACACAGGCTTCCTTCCACCCGTAGGGTTGCAGCAATATCTAATGCTTGCATCACCTTTTCCCCTTACATGGTGTCAAATTTGTAAGGAAAATGTGGGTTGAGCACCAGAGTTGAGTATGTGGGTTGCGGCCATAAAATATTTGCCAATATCAAACAGTTTATTTTGCTATTGACACTTGTTGGGTGTCATTTATTTAATTCTGAAAAAACAAGCCACATCCACAATTTAAGATTTTATTCTTTTAGCAAATAGGGGCGTCAATAACATGTGGAAGAACAATGCGCAGCCACAACAGCCTGGCATCTCAGTCTCATGCTGGTCACCAAGTTGGAAACGCACTGAAACTCAGCCAGTGTGTGACCAAGTGCTGTGTTGGTCACTGTGTTAAATGGGGTTGTGTCCTTGTTTTATTTTTGTTACATTTTTGGAAGAACCAAACTGCAGGTTCAGAGAGTGTTTCATTTTGCAACAACAGTATGTCATTGATATCTATGATCAACTACTTATTCCAAGACAAAACCAAGTTCCCTAAGGATGTACTAAAATATATTCTGTAGATACCATCCAAGATGTTGGGTCTAAATACCCCCTTTACGAAGTTCTACCAGAGTATTGCACTCAAGCTTGTATCTTTTTCTGACTTGTACAAGTTCATTTTTAAATAAAATTTAACCTCAAGGCCCAAACACAGTCATTTTAACCTGTTTTCCTACCATCAAAATATTTATAAATACATTACACAGCACATTTTGACACCCAGATTGTTGAATGCTTTTATTTTCAAACTTTTCAATCCAGGAAAGCCAAATGGAAAATACAAAGTATAGATTTTATTTGAACAACAGAGTCTGCGTCTAACTAATCAAAAGGTTTTTAACCCATGAAGCAGTTCAGCAAACATGTAACGCAGCAAAAATACACTAAAGGTAGAAAAGCGTTTTAAATAATTAATTACTGACGGAAGACTCACTCTAGTTTACTTGAGATAATTTATTTAAATTCAGCAAGAAAGGGGAAAACAATTCACAAACCCGAGGGATACTAAACTTTATGCAAAACACTCACGGGGTGGTGTGAACCAAAAAGCCAACAAATGGTGTCCACAACCTGAAAAATGGCGCCATCTTGTGGCCTCTATCTGTCACTGTAATTCCTTCAAAGCTTTGTGGAAAATGCTTCACCTGTAAAACTTCCGAAGTCACCGCTGACAGTTTTGTTCACCTGCAGAGCGTTGAGCGGCTTCAGTCGATGACGTCACAGGAGAGTCAGAACGCAAAACTAGCAAGGAAACTTATAACGTTCATCTCTGCATCATTATATTTGGATGTAATTGGTGGAGAAATATCAGTTAACACTTAGCAGCGTTCCTCACAGCATTCACTTGGCTTACTCTACATTTACATCGTGTTTTTAAAAAGCTTGCTAAAACGTTTTCAGACAACTTTAAACGCCTTTCGACAGTCTGAAAGTTTTAAACCAGTCAGCTTAAAAGTTGGACAACTGTACCGACCAGTTTCCTCCAGACTGTTTTCATAGATCAAATGGAGACAGGAGACGGACAACATAACGACCCCATTCGAAGTAACAGCGTGATTTCTCTTTTCAGTTTTCAGGTGGATTATCTGACAGTTTGTTACTACACATAACAATTTCTAAAGTTTTAAGGCCTCAGTCATACAAGCCCAGAGGCTGGTTTGTGACCCCTGAAAACCTCCGTGTGGTACGGTGTATTTCCTGGTGCACTGGGAATACACATATTTCTCTTTTAATCCACTTTGCAAAGAGTTGCTTTGCAAAGTGGATTATTTAGACTTTGCATTACATATTATATATAATTATAACAAAATCCTACTTAATTAGTTTAATAGTGTATTACTACAGTGAGGGCTGAGGAAAACATTGAAATAGTGACATTTATAGGCTGCTGCTCATCGACTAAAGCCTTTTTTTTTTATTAAATTGAAGGAGCAGTAACACTATAATAATTTTAATATATGCATGTTTGTATGTTCCCTGTGTAGTTACACAAATAGGATTTTGTGGACAGTTTTGGCATCATATGAATGATAACAATAAAATATTTCTCTATTTATTGTTGTAGGGGTACCAATTCCCCAGCTGCTTCTTTTACTGGAGCAACATGAAGAAATCGATGCAATTCGCCCGATGGTCCGCTGGCTGCAAGTCGGTCTTTCACGTGGTGTCTTGACAGAAGAAAGCCTCCTTGTTTTGAGTCAAGTGATTCTTCAAGTGCCGCAAGATGAAATTGACAACAATCTTCCTAATAATGAAGAAGAGGCTGATGTTCTTGCAGGAGGAATTGAAATTAATCCACCTCAGGAAGAAGAAGGACCCTGGGAAAATATCATAGAAGAGATCCCAGCAGAAGAAATTGAATTAAACCCGGCCCAGCAAATAGTGGAAGAAATGAGATGGTTCTGGGAAGACGAGGGGTCTGCGAGTGACAACGAAAGTGTCCCTAAAAGTGACAATGATGACAGTGATCCTGATAACAGTGACAATGATGACAGTGACCCTGATAACAGTGACAATGAAGATTCAGACAGTGGACAGGCTGCCCCAGTGTTATTGCCCCCCAGCCCAGTACCGGGGGGTTCCAGGAGGAGACCAAGGGAAGAGGAGGACGATGAAGAGGAAGATGGGAGAGACAGAAAACATTTTAAATGTTGAATTTTGCTGCTGGACACTCAGCATTGCACCCCATCTTCCAATCCCAGTGTCCGACATGTAACTCCTAAGAGACTGAATCTTGGCTGGTCTCCTCTGACCCACTGATTTAATTCCCTGCCACCAGGGACCTTTTTACCCGTGGCACAATATGATTGTGCATACAAATGGATTAGCTTTTCAATACTACCCAAGAACGAGGACGGCTCACACTGGAGCCGACACTGAACTCATCAGTGTCAATCAAACTCATCAGCAACCAGCTTCAGGTATGTTGCTTTGACTGATCATTATACCTTACAGTGATATCACTTATGATTGTAATAACTTGTTTCAGACTTATTCACTGTTTATTAGAATATAATATACATTCTGTTTCTTTCTCCAGAGGAGCTTGAATCCGATAAAAGCAGCAGGGACAAATCCAGGAAACAAATGGTTAGACGGAAAGAGTGAAAGGGTACACCGTGCACAAAGTTTTGGACCTCATCACAGTGCCAGTTTGAGATGGGGTTTTGGTCCACTCATCTGGTCTGGATTCTGCTGACTTCAATGAAGGGATAGATCCTTGCCATGAAATGCAGGGATGTATTCATAAAATATAGTTTGAGTTAGAGTTAATGGCACCAAATGTGATTTAATAGAATGAATGAAAAACTGATGTGTGTATTAAAAACATTGAATATTAAACTGCAAATCTGTCCTCAGTAGTTTTCCTCTGACACCGATGCATAAACTCTACTGGTCAACTCCGTCCCAGCGGTAACCCAGTGGAATATTGAACTGTTTTGGAGCTGGAGCAGGGCCTTTATATCGAGGTATATTGTGGGAGTAGACGTGTGTTTCCCTAGATCAGGGGTGTCCAACTCCAGGCCTCAAGGACCGGCACTCGAGGCCTGGAGTTGCCTACACCATTCTCTGAGCATCTAGAGCAGGGGTGTCAACACACTTGAGTCAGATGATTAGTTCATTCCCAGGCCTCTGGAGAACTTCAAGACATGTTGGAGAGGTAATTTAGCCATTTGAATCAGCTGTGTTGGATCAAGGACACATGTAAAACCTGCAGGACACCGGCACTCGAGGCCTGGAGTTGCCTATCCTGACATAAACCAAACAGCATGTTTTTAAGATAATGATTTTACACATTTCTCCATGGATTTATATAGCTTTGTCATACAAAGTTAATCCGAAGTCATGCCCTTTAATTCATAAAAGCGCATTACAAACATAAAGTTACATAAAATGTGACTCAGGGAATTCACAAAAAATAGAAACAAACAAACAAACAAACAAAGCCCCAACATAACAATAACAGGATCGCCAAATGTATACTGCAGTTGAAGCACAGTACTGAACACCAATAAATAGTATCAATAAATAAATAGTAACAGCTTACAATAACAGTGGCAAAACAGATCAAACTGAAAGGTTCTGTTCTGTTGATTTTAAATCACTACAGCATGAAGCAGAGCTCACATTACCTGGAAGGGCGTTCCAGAAAAGTGGAGCATAAAATTCAAATGTAACTTCTGTATGTTTAGTCTTGACTCTTGGAGCAGAAAGTAAACCTTTTGCAAGTGATCTGAGAACAGTTCAGGGTAGCAGCTATTGTTAAGAGATTGGTGGTTGAAAGAGGAGTGAAAGAAGCCATGTATGTCCACTGTGAGCGACCATCTTTTAACAGAGGCGGTGGTTTACGACACCGTCTGCCATCTATAATCCAGTGTTGAGATCCCTTCCCAGACGCCTTAACGCCCACTCACATCCTGGGCCATCTGACCTCAGGAAATCACATGATAGGGTGGGGCTAGGTTTCACAATGAGCTCACTC